ACCAGTACTGGTCTAAACCAGGATGGTGGTTAAAGGTATTTTGTCTAATGTGTAACTCATTAATGATATATCATTAGATATCATTACATATATAATGATATATTAATGAGTATCTGACCAACATGTTTTGTTCCTTTAGATCTCCGAGGAATTCTATGGGAAGAGGAACAAAGCAAAGAAAGTTTTGTTTAAAACCCTCGATGACCTAATAACAGTAAGTTACCCATTTCATTACTGAATAAATAATTATGTCTCAAATATTTTTATTAAGACGCATTGCTTAAAATATTCCAAAGTTCAAAAAACATAACAAAGGCAAACATACAAGAAAGACACACCAGACGTATGAAAAGAAATGACGAAAAAGGAACAAAACAAAAATATTAAAAATAATTACCTGACAATTCCCACAAATAAACCCTCTCCCTTACCACCCCCCATTCCCACCCTGAGTAGTGCTACCTAGAATACCAATGTCTTTTAGAATCAAAAAATATGCATGTTATTCATCCATTCTCTAAGAAAGAAATCACAGGTGTCCAAGTCCGTTTGAAAGTCACTAGTGTCATTGAGGACCTGTCAGATTTTTTCCAGGTGGATGGTATCAGTCAGAGTTGTTATCCAATGTTCAAAATAGATGAACAATTCTAAGTGTCTCTGTTGAGGGACAGAAAGCACTTCAACTACTCTCATCTACTGTGTTTTTTAAAATCCAGCTCTACCCATTGTCGGAGGGTTCCATGGAGCTCAGTGACAGGAGAGCTTTTTTCAGCCTCATCAAGGCCTCCTGGAGATGGACCCAGACAAAAGGCTCACCCCAGAGGAAGCACTGTCGCACCCCTTCCTCACGATGTCCCAAATATTGGAACAGGCAGAACCATAGTGAGTAACTGAGTTTTGGTTTCAGTACAGATATTGAATGAAGAGAAAAAAAGTGTTAACTGATTAAGTGATCCTCTAATGTGTTGTTGTGTTTTATTCAGTTTATTTACTTCTCTGTCCAAAATGGGCAATTTGGGAATGGAAGAGGACGACAGTCAGTCTTCCCC